CGCGGGCGCGCAGGCGCCGGCGCCTTGATCTTTTCCAGGCTGGAGGCCGTGCCGCTGGAGCTGCTGTTCAGGGTGTCCGTCTTGGAGCTGTCGGTCATCTCATCCTCCAGCTGCAGGTCTGAGGTCAGGGTATCAATCTGGTCGACAACCTGGTGGGAAGGACAAGGTAACTGTGTTGAAGAAGGACCCAAAGCAAGCCCCAGGAACAAGTGTTGTGCGTGTGTGGGACTTCATTGTGTCGTGGCACCCTTGACTGGTACAGAATTATGCATTCCGTTGCTGCTGCGGTTTTCAGCCAGAACTTACAGGACAGCTGCCGTCTCAGTGCCAAGAGTAGAAAACATAATCTTACATTCTTATAATATACACACTATGTATGCACATTCTGGTTCTGGCTCTGCTACACCCACTAAAGATGGAATCCTAGTGCAAAAATAGATTTCTAAAAATGAAAAAATAAAAAACAGGACTTCTGCTCAACATGTAGAAAGTTACATGTGAACATTTCTCCCATCCCGGAAATGAGAACACACAAGATAAACAGGCAAAGCTATACTGATGGCTGTGCTTCTGGAAAGGTGGCGGCCCTTGGCGGTCAGCGTGGGTCAGCTCGGCACAGCCCTGTCTCGCTCCTGTAAATATCCACCTTCAATTCTAATACGGCTTCCTTGTGACTTCTGTTCTTACATCGCTTGGTCTTCCTCAATACCTTCATAGCGCCCAGGCTGCTTCCTGCTGGGTTCTCCGCTCACAGCGAGTCCTCTTCTCGAGATGCTGTCACCTTTCCTCTTTGTCCAGTTAGCTCCTACAAATCTTTGGCATCTAAATTAAACATTCATGAAGGATGGCTTCTCAGTCCTACTACACCTGTAGTTCATGTTAATGTGTTCAGTCATCCCAAAGAATCAGCACTTTCATTCATATAATTTTATTTTATTTTATTTTTTATTTTTTATTTTTTATTTTTTATTTTTTTTTGGTTTTTCTCCGGTACCGGGAACTGAACTCACGACCTTGCGCTTGCCAGGCAGGCGCTTTTTGCCACTGAGCTAAAACCCCAGCCCCTTCATTCATATAATTTTAAATTATATTTTATGTAGTATTTTGAGTACTGAAATAATCTTTCCCAGCTTTGTGTGTTGGTACACCCCTGTAATCTTGGCACTCTGGGAGGCTGAGGCAGGAGGATCACAAATTCAAGCCCAGCCAGGGCTCTTTGGTGAATGAGGGAGACCTTGTCTCAATATAAAAAATAAACCAAGGCTGGGAATGTAGCTCAAGTGAAAGCCCTGGGTTTAATCCACCGTACAAGAAAAAAAAGCAAGAAAGAAAAATGAAAAGAAATACTGTTTCCTACATAAAACCTAATCTCAGTAAAGATGAGCCCCTTGGCTGATTTTTGCTATTTCTATTGTATTGTGATGGCCTCATACAGGAATTTCTACTTATTAGGGGCTCAAAAATATTTAACTAAATGCCTTGAGAATTACTATTTCTTTGGTTCAAGTGTAAACAAAGTATTCACTTTCTTATTTTGTTTCTGGAGGTATCATGATGCTAGAACTTGTTCATTTTTTCTAAGAGTTTACCTAGAAAGCACCACAGGGTTGGTGGCATATTCTCTAGCTGTAAGGCACATGGAATATGCAGAAATTAAGTGGGAGGATATGTAATGATAGAGGAGCACTCATGGCTCGTCAAAACTGTGTGTATCATTTCACCTGGAAAAGGGATGGGCCCTAGGCCTTTTACTGAGTTAAATATCTGCAGCAAAGGAAAGTAAATTTTCCTGGGAAAGAATTGAAACGAATTTTCAGAGATGAAAAACTATTGCCTGAAGCCCTCAGAGTTTGACAGTTCCTGACTAGTGTCAGCCTACACTGTTATTTCCTGAGTGCTTCCTGATTGCCAATGAAACACGAAGACTTAAACAACCTCATCATGGAGCAGGGAATCTAGTGAAATGGCCTCACCTTCAATAAGTGCTCAAGCATGTAACAGTAAAAGTGCAACAGCCACAAGCACTTGAGAGACTATCAGTGTGGGAGAAGAAAGGACCCCAGGAGAGAGGTGCATGGGGCACTCCTACCCCCGCCCTCTAGATCACTGGTTCAAAGCCTCTGCTCAGGAAAGAGCATGGTGGAGCGCCGCTGACGCAGTGAGCACAGAGTGCCAACGCTTTAAGGGAAGCCTGTGCTAAAGGCATCGTTAAACAGGAGGCCAGAGAGGGAAGCCATACCTGGACTGTGAGGGCTCTGAGTAGCCCTTCACTATCATCATAGAGTACAATGTGGGTTGTTCCGTTTTTGTTTTTTTAAACAGGGTCTCATGTAGCTCAGGCTGGCATGAACTCACAGCAGTCCTCCTGCTTCAGCCTCCTGAGTTGTGGGATTACTGATGCGTGCCACGAACCTGGGGCAATATATTTTACAAGAGTTTCAGAAGATGGGGAACAAAGCAGCATTCAAATTAGGATTTGAGCAGGATGAGTTGATTGTGTGTGTGTATGTGTGTGTGTGTGCTCACAAGAAAGACTGGGTAGAAGTTTGCCTGAGTTCCTGAGACTGGGGCCCAGCCCAGCTGCCACAAGAGTGGGCGGAATGCAGGTCGTGTTCACGAAGGCTTCAGATATTGCCTCGGTGGCACCCATAGTGGTGGTGGGGCTGGGCTGAATGCCAGACACCTTTAGGAACCCTGGTGAGCCACTCCGATGCCTCCCTCACTAGTGTGTGAGGCACGTGGAGCCCTGAACAACTTCTGGGGCCTTGGTGGTCACTGCCAGAACAACGCACACCCCCCTAGTAGCTCAGCTAAAACCTGAACAGAGTCAGCGGCCTCACCCCTTCCCTTCCAGTGTGAGAAGCCAGGTTCTGTCCTGGGCAATATCTGAAGCCTTGGTGAACATGACCTGCATTCCCCCCACTCTTGTGGCAGCTGGGCTGGACCCCAGTCTCAGGAACTCAGGCGAACTTCTCCCGCCCTTCCCACACACACCTGGTAGCATCTGGGACCCCACTTTCCCACCACTCACCAGCACAGGGGCTGCGCTGAGCACTGTGTATCTGCAGACTCTCTCCCTGCCACTCACACACAATCAGGAGATTGAGGCTGCACTCCAGGGAGCATCTAGATCTTCAAAAATGACAAAATGAAGGAACAAAATGCACTCTCAGACCTCCATACCACCCAAAACAAGTCCAGGAGACATCAACACAGAAGAGCCTGGAAGTAAAACACCTGAAATTTCTGAAAGGATAGCAACTGAAGTAAGGAAACAACTTCATCAGGCCATAGAAGACATCAGATCAGAAATAATGTCTCAGGTGAGAAAAGAAATGACAACAATAATGAAAGAAATGTTCAGCATATCCAAAGATGACATAGACAAGAAAATAGAAGAGCATAGACAACTCATGGAAACCTTCAGGGAACAATATAGAAAAGAACTAGAAGGTATGAAACAGATACAAACAGATATCCAGGAACTTAAAATTTCCATTGAAAGCTGGCAAAACCACCTGAATGAAGCTGAAGATAGACTTTCAGACCTTGAAGACAGCACTGCCACTAATGCACGTGAAGGGAAGGATCTCTTAAAAACAACAAGGAATTAGGAAATAACAATACAACAACTGCAAGAAAAGGCAAAGAAAATGTCAGGGTAATAGTTATTAAAGAACAGCAGGTGTCAACACAAATGACATAAAAAGACTAATTGCAGAAATAATAGCAGAAAATTTCCTAGGTTTGGAAAAAGAATTGGACATCCAGATAAGTGAAGCATATAGAACTCCAGTTAATCACAACCAAAATAAATCTACACCCAGACATATAGTGATCAAGATCATGGACACTCAACAAAAGCTCAGAACATTAAAAGCTATCAGAGAAAAGAAACAGATCACGTATAAAGGTAAGCCTATCAGAATCACTGCAGACTTCTCAACACAAACCATCAAGGCAATACTTAGAGCTTGGAGTGAAGTATTTCAGGTACTGAAAGAAAACAACTTCCACCCAGATTGATGTACCCTGAAAAGTTATCTTTCAGATTTAATGGAGAAATAAAATATTTCCATGATAAAGAACAACTGAAGAAATTCATGAGTGCCAAACCAAACCTACAAAGAGTCCTAAAAGATATTCTAGAAAGAGATAAAACAGACTGCAACTTCAAGAACAACAACAGAAAGGAACCAACAAGCAGAGCAAGCAATTAAACAGAGGGAAAAAAGAGGATCCAACAGCAAGAGAAGAGCATGACAAAGATAAGCCAGCACATATCAGTTGTAACCATCAATGTAAATGGTCTCAATGCACCCACCAAAAGAAGCAGACTTGCAGAGTGGATTAGGAAACAAAACCAAACTACATGCTGTATACAAGAAACACAGACTGAAAATTAAAGGATGGAAAACAATACTCCATGCAACAGGAATCCAGAAAAAGCAGGTGTAGCTATTCTGTTTGCAGACAATGTGAACATCAAACCAAAAACAATCAAAAGAGATAAAGAAAGTCACTAAATACTTGTAAGGCGGAAGCTTCAAGAGGAAGAGATAACAATTGTAAACATCTATGCACCAAATATAGGAGCACCCAGCTACAAATTTTAATAGACATGAAAAATGAAATAAGTAACAACAGAATCATAACAGGGGACTTTAACACAACATTGTCACAAAGAGGTAGATCAACTACACAAACAGGATATCAGAAAATGGAAAGATATTCCTTGCTCATGGATAGGAAGAACCAACATCTTGAAAGTGGCCATACTCCCAAAATTATTGTACAGATTCAATGCAATCTCAATTAAAATACCATTAGTATACCTCACACATCTAGAGAAAACACTCCTAAAGTTCATCTGGAGCCAGAAGAGGACTTGAATAGCAAAAGTAACCTTGGGAAAAAAAGAAAAGGCAGGAGGCATCACAATTCCTGACTTAAAATTAT